CATGCTTTGGTGGCACATTGCACTTCCAAGTCATCACAGAGATGCGTAGTTTTGGTGCTGCATTTCTGGCAAGACAGCAAAATGTCTTGGACAAGCAGGGTCTCTGTATCAACCAGTTTTGGGGCAGACAGAGATCTCAACTCAAGACACAGCAGTGTTCTTTGAGCCTTTAGGGCCACGGGGGAAGGAGGCAATTTGAGGGTCCTCCTGTTTACTAAGATCATGAGGGTGCTTCAGGCGACATCCAATAAGAGAACAATTGGGAACAACACATTCTCATGCGAGCTTGCACACACACACACAAACACACTGATCCGGGTATAGGATGTGGATGTGTACCCAAGAACTGACTAAAGCAAAACTGATTTTAGCTTAGAGAGATTTGATTTTATGCTAAACAAATTTCATAAGGATTTTCATATGAAGAGCCTATTCCTCCCTAAATGTGCCCTGCTTGGCTGCATTTTAATGTGGTTGAATCCAATCTTTGAGTTCTCTGCAGGCCCATGACTGGGTTCTAAGGACACGGCTCTCAGCTGCTGGCTGAGCCTGGGGGAGGAAGTTGCTGTCACAGGGGCTTCCAGGGGACTGAACTTCCCTCTGAGGATCCCGGAGCTCAAAGGAATGGAAGAAGGCCAGTGTGGGGTAGGGAGCTGCGGTTCCCATGGGGTCCGCATGGAGGGACACAGAAGGCCCTGGAAACTTGATCAGTGGCACAAAGAGCCCCACATAGTCCCTCTGAGAGCTTCTACTATTGAATTTCAGTTTACTGAATACAAACAATTTATGAGTCACACACTGAGTACTTATGGGGTTTGCCAGGCCTGCCGGCAAGGCACCATCTTTCCCGCCTCTAAGAGGTCCAGGGAGCAGGATGGCCAGACTTAGAAAACACAAATGCAAGACACCTAGGAAAAGTTGAATTTCCGAGGAGGAGCGGTTACTTTGTTATCGTAAGTATGTCCCAGTCCGGCCAGGCCTGTCCAGGTGGAGAGATGGGTACAGCTTGAGTGTATGGCCCCACTTGTGGGTGAACTCACCTCCCAGAGGGACTCCAGCATGCCCAGATGCTGGTCTCAGGCAAGCACAGTGGTGCCAGACAGCTCTGCTTTCCTGGGTGCCCGCAGTGGGAGGGATGCCCATCAATCGCCCTGGACCACCCTTCCCTGGCCTCTTAGAGGATGTGGAAAACACAGAGAGGCCCGAGGTGGTGTTCTGTGAGGGGACCTCTGCTGGGGGAGAGCAGGGCATGGCTGCTGTCTAGGAGTCGAGCTCAGATGTGAAAAGTGAGTGGAATATGGGGGTCTCTGACCCCAGAGGATGGGGAAGCCCATCACAGGCAATCTGTCCTGAGAGCACAGGGTGGGCAGCAGGGCGGGCAGCGACACCTGCCTCCATCCTCACCTCCACCTGCTGCTGTCAGATCTAGAGTTCCTTCCAACAGAGTGGGGATTCCGGGACCTGTGCTGCCTGGGAGAGGGTGACACGTGCAGCCTGAGGCTCTTGTTCCCCATGGGTGGGCACACAGTCTGTGGGCACGGGGGAGCCTGGGAGCTGGACTTCTTTTCCCGGATGTTTCTGCAGCAGCACAATTGAAGCATGCCTGCCCTGCTCCAGCCTGGTTAGCCCGGGGCACCGGGCCTGCCCGATGTCTCGCACCCACTGTCCCATGTTCTCTGTGCCTCTCACCAGCCCAGGCTCAGGGTTCCTCTGTCCCCAGTGCCCTGGCACAGGGACTGGCTGAGCAAGGAAAAGACTGGTGAGTGAAGCAGCCAAGAGCTTGCGTCACGGCACGATAGGCAGTCTGTTGTTTGCCTCATCCTCTTTTCTTTTATTTTATTATAAAATAAGAAGATATGATGTTACTCACCCAAGGAGCCCTGAGGTAGACACCAGGATCCCATTTCACAGATACAGAACCTGCAGCCAAGGCCGGGCCAGGCGCTCAGGCAGCCTGGCCTCCTTCTTACCCACGCACTGTGAAAGCCTGTCCTCCTGTCTCGGCCTCTAGCTACCATGCGGCACTGGGACAGATACCCTGGTCTCCACTGGACCTGGTGTGCTGGTGAGGCTGGCATCGGCACGGTCCTGGGCCCCAGGCAGGCTGTGCCCCTGGCTTCTGCCCCAGGTACCTCTGCTATGGCCCTGGGTGCTGAGCCTGCTCTCTCCTCTCCCCGCACTCCAGGCCTCATCTCTGGGGTCCCCCAACCACTGACAACTGTTAGAGGCCCCAGCCCTGCTGGCCAGTGCAGTAGGCCACTCAGGCCAGCAGGGGCCTCCTGTCATTGGAGTTGTTTAGAGCTTTGGACGCTGGGCCTCAGTTCCACCTGGCGCTTGCCTCTGTAGCCCCGTCCTGGCTTGATTGGTCCCCTGCCCTCACCTCTGACAGCAAGCTCTGCTTCTAACAACCTCGGGAGCCTACAGCAGGGCCACGTCTGTGAGGGACCAAGGGTGCGTGTGCTGCCTCCCAGGCTTCTGTGCAGAGCAGCTTCTCTCCTCCTGGCAATTTGAGCTGATCCTGGAGGACCCCACCGGAGCAGCCTGGCACAGAGCCTGTCCCCTCAGCCTCCCCAACTTCTCTGTGGGCCGTGCTTGCCCAGAGCTTGTCCCTGCTTCACGGATGCCTCTGAGGCTTCCAGCTTCTGACAATGGTGTTCACGGTTTCACCACAAGCGCCAGTCTTCATCCCCTGTCATGTCCCAGGCCCAGGGCACGAGACCTACAGCTTCCTCTCATTCTTCCCACCTCTTCACTCCATTTCACTTCACCCTCCCCACGGAGGCGCTGCTGCTCTACCCTGTCATCCCAGGACCACCCGTTCTGACACGCCTGCCCTCAAGGCTCATTCTTTTGTCTACATGTCCGTTTACTCAACCGACTCTCCTAGGGCACGTTCTGGGAGCTGGCATGGTGAATGCAGCACTGTGGGTGGGCGGCCCACCTCTGCCAGCCACACGTGCCCTCACTCCGTCCAGTAACCAGCGCCTACCCCACAGCTAGGAGCAGCAGCCCCTCACCTCTCAGCCTCATCCCTGTGCTCTTGCTCATTCTTCTTCCCACCCCCAGCCCTACTCACCCTGCACCTTTGCCAATGCAGCCCAGTCTTCCTGCAGCCTGTCCCTCTGTCTCTGCAGGTTCCAGGCCTGGCTCCAGGGCCACCTCCCTCAGCCAGTGCCAGAGAGGGTCTATGTTGACATCCTAGCCCCCAGTACTTCCGAACGTGACTATACTTGGAGAGAGTTGAAATGGGGTCACATGGGTGGGCCCTAATCCCATATGACGGGCATTGTTATAAGTGGAGATGAGGACACAGATGTGCACAGAGGACAGAGGAGATGAGGACGCAGGGAGAAGGTGGTCATCTGCAAACCAAGAGAAACACCTCAAAAGAAACCAGCCCTGTGGCACCTTGATTGTGGACTTCCAGCCTCCAGAACAGTGAATAAATGAATTTCTGTTTAATATTGTTAGGCAGCCCCAGCCAACTGATATAGCAGAATGTCTCTCTGCCTTCCCTAGGAACTGAGATGTCCATTTTAGCCCTTTCACCTCAAGTCACATTTGCTTGCACAGATACCGCATTGCCAGGACCCCAGCAATAAGACCCAACACCGTCTCCTCATTTTCTCCATGATTTGAGGGGAACAAGAGGCAAAAACACTTAAATGAAGGAATTGAAGACAGCCTTTTGGCCAGCAGACCTTGTCAGCCCTGGATAATGCTGTGACATATTTTGAAAAATGCCAGCAGGCTCAGCCTTGATATTTATGACCCTGCCTCTTGGCCTTCCTGGGGAGTGTTGTTCTCTGCTCTTAAATTTATGGTCCTTCAGTGCAGTCCCAGACCAGCCAGGGGATTGCAAATGGCTGTCTGCTAATAGCATGTGCAGACGGTGCAGGAGATGGTGTGATCCTTGGCCCTGGGGTCAGACACAAGCGCTTCTCACCTGGGGGAAGGGTGCTCCAGACCTGAGAGGAGTCTCCTCCATCTTCTCCTTTGCAAAGCCTCAGAGTTTATAGAGGAATCAGGGTATCCTAACCATCTTTCACCATTTTTGATATGGCTGCACATCAGTTCTATTTTCTTAATATTTTTATCTTTTAATAAATATGTTGCCCCCTGAAGGCCAGGTGACACGTGGGGCATAAGACACAAAGTGCATGTTCCTGCGTTCCCTAAGCCTGGGCTAAATTAGGTGTGGACCCCCTTCAGGGCCTTTGCAGGGTTTGGAGACATGGGGAAGATCAGGATCCCCACCTGGCCCTAGAAGGGAGATCTCTGAAAGAGAGTTGATGCTAACAAGCTTAGCCTCCCCAAGTCTCTATGTGTCCACTTGAGCTTGACTTTATTAAAGAGGCAAGTGGATTTCCATTTGAGGAGCTCTGCAAATTTTGTGGTAAGGAGGAGACATTAGAGTGAGGGTGATACCTCTGATGTCCAACAACCAATCCCAGAATGACCCAGGCACAAGAAGGTACTGGAATTTCTCAGTGGGGCATGAGTTAATGACCCTACCTGCCATATGTTTTCAGGTGGAAGACAAAAGTCACACAGGAGTGCAGATTTCTCCAGGAAGAACTGCAGCTCAAAAGCAGAGTGTCGACTGGGGCCTTTGGAAGAGACTGCTGAGCCAGGAGCTGGCTGGAACCCCTGTCTGTTGCAGGCTGTGGAGATGGGGCAGGCATGCCCAGGGGGGTGTATCACCCCAGGCCAACCTGCCTGAGCCTGCCGTGGGCAGCACCCACAGCCATGTCCTGCAGCTCAGCCACAGAGGCTGGGCCTTCTTCCCAGTGGCCCCTCACTCCCCAGGCCTCTACACTCTGGGCAAGATGGGGAAGAGCCAGTGTCTAAGGTGGAAGGTGGGTAGGGGCTGGGTGAGGCTTTGCAGGTGGATGTGCTTCCCTGCAGACTTCCTGCCTTTCCCAGGACAGAAACACATATACGGAGACAGGCAGCATTTAAGTGAGATAGAGTGGCAATTTAAAACTCAAGAGCCCTTCTGCATTTAGGATATAGTTGCTTTAATAAAATAAAGACAATACAATAATATCCAGTAAGTAACTGCATCTTTTTTTTCAGTGCAATGGCCCTTAGTAAGATGAGTCATGTGTAATTTCATGTGCAGCTGGGCGTCACCAAGTCAGTTTTCAGAGCGTTGCTCAGTCCTCTGAGCGTGTGCACTCATCCTTTTCATTGAAGTCCCGTGAGCCATGGAGAGGGTTGGGGTGCAGAGCTCTGATTGCCAGAGGCTGGTCCTTGAGAGCTGTGGGGAGGGAGCCCTTGGGGTTTCCTCTGTAGGCAGAGCTCAGGCCCCAGTCACCTCTGCCACCCTCAGCCTGGCACTACTGTGCCAGAGCCTCTGCCTCTCTCTTCCTACCCATCTGCAGACCAGCAGAATATTCTCCCTTTCTCATCGCCGACCAGGAGTTTGGTCTGGTTTCTTGGGAAGAGAAAGAAAAGACAAGGACATTAGAGGCCAGCCTGTCAGTACCACTTGTCCCAGTCAGCACATGGGATATTGCAACTCTGGGGCTCAGTCCAGGGCCTAGTGGAGATGGCCCCTGGCCTCATCTCCCCTGAGGCAGCGCAGGCAGTGGGAGGAATGGAAGTTTCCACTTGGGGGTGGGGGAATACCTTTGAGCTGTGAGGGTGACGGTCCCCACAGCACTGTGGGGAAGCTCAGGTCCCAGAGTCCAGGACAAGGCCCTGCCTCTCTCCAGCACCTCCAGGTGAGCCTCCTGTCTCGCCAGAGATACAGCCAGGACCAGGGCAGAACAAATGGCAAATTCTCCAGCAAAAAAGTGTGGCTCTGGCCTGACCTTCCCTACCACCATGCCCATCCTGCCCCATTCCACCCCACCCAGCATCTAAAACACTGTATAGCGCCCTCACCAAGGATGCGAGAACAGCCCACGCCATGCCGGTGAGGGAGGAAGGCAGGCCAGCTCTGCAAGGTCAGTGGCCCTGTGGCTGCACCTCATGGTATGTACAAGGAGGTTAATGACAGTAACCACCTCCATGGGTTACTGTGAGTCAAATAACGGGTACAGAATGTGACTGACGCTTGGCTATGCTACAGCAGCTAAGAGCCCTCATAAGGCACTTTCTGTTAATGAAGGGTAATCATCACACCACATGTTACAGCTGGCAGTGGAACTCAGGGGAAAAGGCTCTCTTTAGGATAAAATTACAAAACAATATACTTATACCTCTTGGATTTCTTTATGAATGGATGGATATTCAAGAGCAAGAGAGCAAGGGCGTGTGTGAGTTAAAAACAAAACAAATAATACAAAAACCCAAAGCATTTCCTGGGGTTCTACACGGCCACATGGGCTGCATCCTGTGCTCCGTGGGGTCCTGTCCTGGAGGGAGGTGGCCTCCTTGGCCGGGTGGCCTGGACTCAGAGCCACTGGGACTTTCCTAGAGGTGGCCGCAGTGCCCTCTGCTGGGGGCCCAGAGAAACAAGGCCACGCTTACCTGGACACGGCCAGAGCCGTCACCGCGGGGCTGGTCTTGCTGGGCTTGCCTGTCAAAGCAAGGCTGACATCCAGCTCTCGACTCAGGGCCAGGTTCTTCTCCCACTTGTGGCCTGTGAGGAGCATGTGAGAGAAGAATTAGAACACCAGATCGGCTTCGCACACACAGCCTGCATCTGCGCACAGCATGCATCTGCACACAGGGCCGGAAACATATACACACATATTTATATTTGTGGTCAGCAACTTGTTAAATTGAGGGGGGAAATATATTTAATCTTGGCCTGTGCTGTTGCAAAAAGGGCCGTCCCAATTTAATTTGCAGGCGGTGATAGTTACATGTGCTGACGTGCCGCGGTATCCATTGTGTACCAAATTGGATTTGTGTATTATTGCTTTCTAAATTGCATGCCTAGTTCAGCAAAATTGTTCATCAGTGTTTACTGGCTTTATGCTTAATAAGATGCCCCACAATACCTTGCTGCCAGGATGTAATGCGGCCCATAATTGCCTAGTAAAAATAAATTACATAAAGTCGGCATTATCAACTTATCTTAATCCTCTCACGCCACAACCAATAATTAAATGCTGAGAACGTTTTTTCAAAAAATATAACTCAATGATTGTTACTTCACTCATTTTAATGACTGCATTTGGGAACAGACAGTAATTCCTTCAATGTGAAGGGTGAGATGGAGAGACGCCAGCTGGGTACGTCCCTGTGAGGCTACTTCCTTGGACTCAGGGCAGGAGAGATGGTACAGCTCCCGCTGTCCTGGAATGATCACCCATGTGTGTAGGCAGGCCATGCACCAGGAAATGCTTGATGGGTCCAGGTGGGAGAAACTGCCTCAAAACACACCAGGCATTTGTACACTTGTATATCAGTCTAAAAAACAAGCTTCTCCCAATCACTCTTTCTGTGCCTGATTGAGTCCAAATCTTTGAGGCAATTCCTGAAATAAATTGTACTCTTCTGGGTTGGGCCTTGCTGCAAATGGCAAACAAATGAATTCCAAGCAGAAATTAGATTACATCTGCCCACAAATGCAGCATCCTTAATATCTTCAAAGATCTCCTTTCTTGCCCCTTAAGACATTTGAGGGATACAGTAATACACATGCCAAGAGGACGTGTGCAAATATCCACGTGTCATGCCCAATACAGGTCCCTTTCAGATAAAACAGTTTTGAGCAATGTAAGAACAACATGTTTTTTATTAAAGACCTCCAGCAGTTTAGGCTTGTAAATCTGCCCATATTTTAGATTTGTTAGCTAAAGTGATATTTTAAATATGTCTATGTCATCCTGTCACTTCATGTTCATCTTCCCTTAAACTATAAACACAGTCTTGGCAGTCAATCCAATGGGGCGGCAGTGACTCTGGGTCAGAACAGACACAGAAGAAGGATGTCGATCTGGGGCTCCCTGTCAGTCTAAGAACCCTTAAGTAAGTTTCCTAAGGCCATCAGCTTCTGTGTCTACAGAGAAAAATATCTCAAAAGTCTGCAAAAATGACAATAATGACCTGCATTTGGGGTAGATTCTTGTCTGTGGCTACTATTGTTCTGTCCTCAGTACTCGACTAGTTAGGATGCACGGGAAGTACCTCCATTTGACAGAAGACCAGAGAAGCTGCTGTGACAGAGTTGGGTCTAGAACCTTGTTTCCTGCTTTTTACCCTGCTTCTCATTCACTAGATCCCATGACCAATGAGTGCAACCTCACCACAACCATTGACGCTGGATAGGAACCTGCGAATCCACTGGCACTGCCAGAACCAACTGAATGGCTCTGAGGTGACTTTCATTCATCTGTCCATCCATCCATCATCCATCTATCCATCCATTCATCCATCTGTCCATCCATCCATCCACCCACCCACCCATCCATCCACCCACCCACCCATCCATCCACCCACCCACCTATCCAGCCAGCCCTCTTTCTCAGGCATCCGTTTAGCAACCATGGGCTTAGCTAATGCCTTTAGCTTACTGGGCCCCAATAGCTTCAAAAGTGGGCATTTGCATCCCAAACTAAAATGATGTGCAGCCTCATGCAGGTGTACCAGAAAATTGCTTCATAAGCAGGTTGGGGAATAAGAGCCTTTCCAGTTGGGAGCAGATATGGGAGGGAGTCTGGCCTCTGCTTTCCAAAGATGTGCCGGGTTCCTTAGAATGCACACACTTCCCTTATTTCACAATGAGCTAGGCTGTCTCCTTGTGGTGGTCTCCAAGAACCCTAGAGGAACAGGACCTGTGAACTGATGCAGTTCTTGATCTTTGTGACATTACTGCTCTGGCTCAGCTCAGATTGTCGACAAGGGTCCCCGGGTGTTGTTATCTTGAAGGAAGGGACCTCTAATATACAGCCTAGGACACAGTAGGGGCTGAGCAAATGTTTGTGTGTGCTTGCATGAAAAAGAATCCACAAATGGGTGACTAAATGAATCAAAGAGGTGTGGACTGTATTTCAGAAGGGACTAATTGCAAATGTCTACTCTTTTCAGAAGTCAGCCCTCAGAAATCTGGGAAATTCTCTCCTGTGGATGATCACAGGTTCTGGGATGCAGAGCAAACAGGGAGCTACCAGAAGCGCTCAGGATGATACAATTCTTACTTCATGAAAATATGTTTGATTGTGGGTTCCAATAAAGATGTTCCCATTCTGGCCAGAATCTTTTCTGAAGACTGAGCTGAGAGAGGAGTTTGGCTCTATTGGAGGAGGCGATGATGGTGGTGGGGACTGGACAGTTGTGGTAGATGTGACGCAGTGACAGCTTTGATGGGGAGGTTCGCGACTGTGTTCATTACGGAGGGGTTGGTGATGGTGGTTACATGGCAGTGTCTATGGTTAGGTTATTCTGAGGCAGTTGTGGCTGTGATGGCAGCAGATATGAGGATAGTCTGCTTCCTGAGTGACTTCGAGCAAGTTACTGAACCTCTTTGTGCCTCTGCAGGCTCTGCAGACCTGGGAGGAGCTGCAGCCCTTGGGCTGAGGTGGAGAGAGGGGAGGTGAGGAGGGCAGGGTAAAGCCAGGACAGACACATCCCCAGCAGGGCCGGTACCTCTTGGACTTGGAGGCTGAGTCAAGGTCTCCTCTCTTGTTGGCTGTCCAGGAACAGACATCTTCACCTCCTCAGTCCTCCAAACCTGTCCCAAAAGAGCAAATGTCATGGCCTGGGGAGATGATCCTGTCTGCAACCTCGGAGTGGTCTAGACCATTTCCTCACACCTAAGGAGCCCTTAGGGAAGGGATGAAGACATGGCCCCCCTTTCACTTCAGATGTCAGTGTATTATCAGGTAAAATGTTGTTTAGGCTTCAGCTTTCTCATGTGGAGGTTTGGCTAACCACAGTTGCAGCTTGAGTGAGTTTACCCCACCCATATCCCTGAGTGCCTCTCATCTCTTCATAGCCCTTCGCTTGTAGGGTTGTGACTCTGCAACCAGTTTATTCCCATTTTACTCAGCTGATGCCCTCTTGCCCATAACGCCACCACCTCTGGAGTCCCCCCTCACCCCTGGATGGCTGGGCACCCCCATCTTGTGTCTGGCCCTTGGTCCTAAGCCTGCTTGTGAGAGCCCTGAGGCTGACTCCCTCAAAACGGCTTCTCACTCACTGGATCTGGACTTTATGTCACCCAAGGGCAAGGAACAGCCTCCTCTCAAATGCTTTTGCGAGCCCACCCAAGGCCCAGCACAGCACTGGACCAGTACAAGAGCTTAGTGACCACAATGAATGGATGAGTGCTGGGTGCACAGAAGACCCCCAGTCATGCTTTGGGCAGGACCAGGAGAGAAATACACCTGCAGCTCGGCCACCCCAAGGTCCTTCGGCTGGCCTGCTGGTGTGGATCACACCCCACAAAGCCCAGGCCATCCCAGGATGGCCTGCTTTCTGCAGAGGCCATAGATGAGGCCCTGTGAGGGGACTGCCTCGGTGCCTCCTTAGCCTGCATGGATGGATGGATAGATGGGTGGATGGATGGATGGATGCTTGATGGATGGATGGCTGGATGGATGGATTCTTGATGGATGGATGGATGGATGAATGAATACATGGATGGATAGATGGATGGATGAGTGAATGGGTGGATAGAGAAATGGATGGGCAGATGGACGGGTAGATAAGTGGAGAGATAAATGGGTAGGTGGGTAGATAGATTAGTGGAAAGGCAGGTAAATTTGGGTTGAGCAGATGACATAAATTATCTACTTTCAGCATTGAGATATGATCTTTTGCATTTAACCTTTCAGCATTTATGTTGTAACAGTGCTTATTTTAGTGTGTGTCTGTGTGTGTTTGTGTGTAATACTATATATATATATATATAATTTTATTTATTTACATTTTTCCTGGAAAGAGCCTTGCCTTTCCCTTCATTTGCTGTAGATACCTGTTCTGGAATGGTCTCAAATGCAACCTACAGGGTTGGCCCCCTGGAGAAAGTTAGAAGAATGGAGATGAACACATTTCTTGTGCCATGTCCTCATTCTGCCCAAGACACACCTACCCGGACCATGCCGTCTTGACTCCCGGTGATGATGATCTGACTTGTGTCCCATGCTGGGCCCTCCATCAGGCAGCAGCAGGTTATGGCTCCTTCTGGGCCCCAGGCTGTGGTGATGCTGGCCAGGGGCTGTCCGTTGACATTCCATAGGGACAAGTGTGCTCCCGCACAGGAGACAATGGTGCCCTGTTCAGTGAGAGCTGCCATCACTCTAAGCTGGAGTCACTACCTGCCCATCAGCCACGTGCTCAGCTACCCAGTTGATACCTCCAAGTACCCTCAATCTGCCATGCTCTGAAGTCCCCCAAGGTACCCCAAGATTTCCTAAGGCACCACTTCTTTTCTAGCTGACTCACAGATCTGGTATGTTTTCACACAGTTGTAAATTCTTGGTTCTTTTCATACTGCAGTCTTGTGCTTGGATACTTCTTTCCTGGCAGAAGGCACCTGGCTCACCCTCCAGGCTCCTCCCACATCCCACTCCCCGGCCACACTGTGGCTGCCACAGAAGATCCAGCCTGAAGGGAAGCCCTGGCTTTGGACATAGCTTACACCTGGTTGGCCAGCCCTGTCCATGAAGAAGTTTTGGATGCCACCTGGTGGAGGGCAGGGTACAGAGGGTCCAACGACTGCATGGAGCTCATAAACTGTGCAATGTCCCTGGAGAGAAATTTCCCCATTGTGTTTCCTGATATGCTCACATTTAAGTCTTTACTCCTCAAGTGCTGCCTATTCTGTAGTGGCCATTGTCATTGAGGCCCTGGGGCCATCCCTTTGAGCCTTGCCTTAATCACAGAAGGGATGTAGGGAACTCAGTAACTCCCACATCCCCCTGGGCTGGGGTCCATTGTAGAATTTCCTGATGGTCTGTCTGAGGCCAGAGACCATGTCTGATACCTCTCTGCCCCACACCCAACAAACACAGATTGAAATCAATTGGCTGCAGGACAACTTGTCCTGGTTCCAGGTTTTTCTGGGGTCTAGGGACACAATTCCCAATGGGTTTTATATTCTCCCAGGTGAAGGCTTCACACCTTCTTCTAAACATCAGCCATCCATCCATTCACCCACCATCAGTCCATCATCCATTTCATCCATCGTTCCATCCACTACTCATCCCTTTATCTGTCCATCTATCCATCCATCCATCCAATCACTCATCTATCCACCCAACTATCTACCTGTTCATCCATCTACCCATGCATCCGCTCATCCATCCACTGATCCATCCATCCATCCATCCATCCATCCATCCATCCATCCATCTATCCATCCAATCACTCATCTATCCACCCAACTATCTATCTGTCCATCCATCTACCCATGCATCCACTCATCCATCCACTGATCCATCCAACCATCCATCCATCCATCCATCCATCCACACTCCATCTACTCATCTAACATTGAATCCAGTTTTGAATTCGAACCTACCTGGAGCACTACTTTCAGCACAAATTGGAACCAGAAAACTCCTGTATCACCCCCCACTCCTCTTTAGATCCCTCCACTCACTTTATTCATGCCCTGGGCCCCTTAGGTTTTCTGTGAGCAGATGCAGAAACCTCTGCATCCTCAGCAAACCCCATATCCCATGACAGGGTTTCAGTCTGGAAGAAATTTCACGCTGATAAATCGATCTCCCTCATCTTTGTTACTTAATATATGGAAGGACAGGCAGAGAAGCTTGCACTGCCGTGAAGACAAAAAACCTGCCAAGTCAACACTGATTTGCAGGTAAGGGGCTAAATGAGCCAGCCACATCCAGCAGAACCTTCACTAAAAGCCAGACTTTCTGTTGCAGCCCCCTGGTGCCTGCAGCAAAGCAGACACCTCCCACTGCCCCCACCACCAGAGGGAGGAAAGTAAAGAAGCAGAAATCAAAGCTAGACCCAGTGCTGCATGTGAGATCTAGTGACTGTTCCACACCCTTGGGGCCTTCCCAGCATTCTAGGGTGGCCAGAGTCTCTGGGCTTTCTCCTGGGTGTTGTCCCCCATGCTACTGTGAAGGCAAAGATATGGACAATGAGAAATGGGAGTCTCACTGAGATGTCACTGATGCTGACGGCCGAGATGCCCTCCCGATGGGCAGGCAGGCGGGTCACGTGGGTGAGGTGGTCCAGGTCCCACAGGATGCAGGTGCAGTCCTGGGAGCCGCTCACCAGGATGCTGAAGGTGACCGATGCTGCCAGGCATGTGACAGCCTGTGTGTGTCCATACAAGGCCTGGGAGCAGAGACCCACAGGTTAGGAGAGTGGCCCTCAATCCAGCTACTTGGAGGGATTCTTCACCCTCCCTTTTATAGCTGGGCCCTGGATGAGGAAACAGAGATTCTGAGTGAGTCAGTGATTCCCAAATCTCTTGTCTGTGTGGCTGAGAGGGTGTGCATGTGCGTGTCCATGACTAGCCTCTTCGTTTCATTCATCTCCAGGGGTGGAGGCTCTGCTGGGGAGAATCAACCATTTTTTTACTTATAACCTAACCAGAGACTAGCCGCACCGGGAGGCTTTGCGCTGCCCTGTATCTGTCTTGAACCTGGGAGCAGTTCATGTCAAAATTTTTTATTCATTTGTTTTTGAGATGGAGTCTTGCTGTGTCACTCAGGCTGGAGTGAGTGGCATGATCTCAGCTCACTGCAACCTCTGTCTCCCGGGTTCAAGTGATTATTTTGCCTCAGCCTCCAAAGTAACTGGGATTACAGGGCACCTGACACGATGCCTGGGTAATGTTTTGTATTTTTAGCAGAGATGGCTGTTTCACCAAGTTAGCCAGGCTGGTCTTGAGCTCCTGACCTCAAGCATTCCACCTGCCTTGGCCTCCCAAAGTGCTGGGATTACAGGTGTGAGCCATTGCACCTGGCCAGTTCATGTCACTGTTAACACACAAAGCACCGTTGGTAAACTATGGTGCCCACACCAGCAGGCTCAGTAGCAGCAGGTAGCCTGTTAGAATTCAAATTCTTGGGTTCTACCCCATCTTCTGAATCAGAAACGCTGGGGGTGGGACCCCAAAGCCTGAATTTTCACAAGCCCTCAGAGGATTCTCACATGTGCCCAACTTTGAGAGCCATCTCAGTAAGGGAACTTTAGAGGCATGTGCACTCTTTTTTTTTTTTTGAAACGGAGTTTTGCTCTTGTTCCGCAGGCTGGAGTGCAATGGCGCGATCTCGGCTCACCGCAACCTCCGCCTCCTGGGTTAATGCAATTCTCCTGCCTCAGCCTCCTCAGTAGCTGGGATTACAGGCATGCGCCACCATGCCCAGCTAATTTTTGTATTTTTAGTAGAGACGGGGTTTCACCATGTTGACCAGGATGGTCTCGATCTCTTGACCTCGTGATCCACCCGCCTCGGCCTCCCAAAGTGCTGGGATTACAGGCCTGAGCCACCGCGCCCGGCCGACATGTGCACTCTTGAACTAAACTGGGAAGAAGAAAAGGGAGGCCACATAGTCATCAAAAAGATGGATCTTTTCAAGTCTGAGAGGTCTGAATTCATAGTCACTGGGAGACTTACACCTCCTTGGTCTTGGCCCTCAGGTTTGGCTTGTGTGGGGCCTGGCCTGACTCACGGATGGCTGTGTGTTCAGATCTGGCTGAAGGGCTTGTTCTCTTTGGACACTTTCCCAAGGGACTGAAGTGGCCCACCATGCATGCTGGTATCCCCTGGCCAACTGCTGCAGGCAATGGTGTGGATTCCATCACCAGTACCCCAGAGGCTGCAGGTACCAGAGGCCCTGATCTGAGGTACTCTGTGCTCACATGTGCCTGCCATCCCTTGGACTCAGCTGGAGGGGCATGGAGGTGGCATGCTGAAGCATAATTGACCTGGCTCACCAAGTGGTAAGCCTCCACCCTCAGGACAGAGACCATCGTGCACTCATTTGGATCAATGAGGCTAAGCATCGTTTTTCAAAGCTGTCACTTTGCCTGGTCAGAGCAATGAAAGGTTCAGCCACAGGCTCCCATTTGTTCTCCATGAATCCTAACGTGATGCCAACCAGATGGTGCTGGCAAGTTTTTGGTATGATCCACAGAAGATTTAGGTTATCCTAGGAAAATGGAAACTGCCTAAGTGAACAGGGGAAAGCAGAGGAGTTGACAGGAACCTTCTGAATCTCTTCCCAGAATGAAATAAGTCTGTTCCTAATGAAATGACTCTGTTCTGACCACAGGGGACACAGCAATGCCAAAGAGCACAGAGAAGGGACCCAGGCACAATGCTCAGGATGCAGAGAGGAGCTCTAAGCTCCAGCACCTGCAGGTGCTGCTTATGGGTGGAACCGAGTCTGCCTGCTCTTCTCAGGAAACAGCTTGTGTGCCTGGCACTGCCCACTTAGGTCAGGCTGGCTGCCTTCCAACCAGCCTGGAAACTCCTGCATCACGAGGCATTCAGCACCCACCAACTGCAAGAGCCAGAGAAATCAAGGAAGGAGATAGCAGCTTCAAATGTGTGCTCAAGGGGTGGGAGGGTTGTTTTCTCGGAATAATACTTCTCTGAAAGGCCATTTAAAATAACTTCATTATATTACCTTATACCTAACTACAACAGCAAAAAATGACAGCAAAAAGAAAACCCCTGAAAATAATTCCTCATGCAGGTTACATTGCCATGAGATGGGTGCTCTTGATTGCTGGTGGTACCGTAAAGTCAGAACTAATTTGGAATGCACCATGTCACTGCTCATAATTCTCCTCAAAATTTATCATAAGAAAACAATCAGAAGCGAACAGCAATCTAAATGTTTTCTGCAGCACTATTTAACATAGTTAAAACTTGGAAACAACTTAATTGTCTAGTTTTAGAAGAAATGGTTTATTAAACTCTAGTGCACTGATATGACAAAACAATCGAAATGTAATTTTATGGAAATGAAATGATATGGAATGACTGAAATGCAAATTATAGAGACTGTAGAAAAATGGAAACAATTGGATAAGCTGGGTGAAAGTAGAATAAAAAGATCTACACAATGATCAGAAAGATAGAAATATGTTTATCTAGGATAAGAGTATGCAAAAATGAAAACTTATATAGGGATCGTAGAGAATAGTTTGTCTTTGAAGTGGATTTAAAATTTCTCTTTAATGTTGCAGTATCTTTAAAAACAAAATAATTTTTGAACAGCCTATGAAGCTCTGCAGTGATGACTTTCCTGCCCACAGGTAAGGGATGGACCCCTTCATTGGGCAGCCATGGGTTTGGGGAACCCTCAAGGCTACATTGGCCTTTACAGGTAAGTGATAAAGTGTTTTATTTTTAGAAAATAAAAGCATGTGGGAGTCCCATCTCTTTTCCTGTGAAGTAGGAGAGGATGATAAATTACGTTTTTATGGGGTCGATACAAGGGTGTTTCCATGCATTGTCACTGTTAAATGGGAGCTTGGAGGGTGGTGGAAAAATTACTTCACCAGTACCCCAAGGCCAGCCCCAGGGTCAGGTGGAATTGTGTGCATTCCCCAGGGCAAGCTGTAAGTGGGTACTGGGGATACCGGGGGAAGGGCACCCCAGTCTTTCATTTCCAGTCCCTTCACTGAGAGAGAATCATACCCAGCCCACCGGCAACAGCAGCTGGTGAAGGTCACCTGCCTCTCCGTGGGTGCACTGCCTCTGTAGACGCATCAACCCCTCTCACACTGCCCTATCCGTTCCTTCACCTCATATTTGCTCGGTACCCACCCTGAGCCCTCCATGCCCTGGGTGGCACCAGGAGACAAGGACAAACTCTAGGGAGACAGAAGTGGCTTGAAAGTTATCCAGAGAAATACAGGATCTGTTCCAGTGAAACACGTTCGCTTTAGTAAATTTGGTCAGTGGTGATTTTGTACATCTTATTTTTGTTTCTGTTACTTTAGGGCTCTGTGGCTAAGTAAGAACAGACACAGAATTGAATTGTATTTTACAGTTGGAAGTGTCCCCTAGTGATATTCTAGGGTGAGTTCCAGAGTATGCAGGGAGAGTGCATGGGGGTTAGAGTTAGACAAACCTAGATTCAGATGCAAGCTGCCCTGAGCCTCAGTTTCCTTGTCTGAAAGTGGGAATAATAGCTCCCTCTTCATGGGAAAAAATTAGCACACAGAAGGGCCTTGGAGCATTTGGAATGTGAAGCAACCCTGGAGCGCCACTGTGATTAGCATTCCCTGTGAGAACTGGTGGTGCATGTCTTCAGCCTCCTGGGTCATGGCTCCCTCCCACCTCAGCCACTTCCTTCTGAAAGTCGTTCATTTGACCTTGGATACACCACTTAAACTTCTTTGCATCTCGTTTTTCCTTCACCAATAAGGTGATCATGGCACCTATGTTACAGGGCTGTCAAAAAGCTAAAATGAGGCAATCCATGTAAAAATGCTTGGCATAAAGGCCAACTTGTGGCAGAAGGCCTCCAAAATATTATCTGATGTAAGGAAACTGATTTCACCAGACCTCATGTCCATGAAGTGGCTGTGTGTGCCCTGGCATCTCTTGCTAAGGCGTGGGCCTCTGTGGAGGCACCTGCCCTGTGTACCTGTCAAATCCACCTTGGGAATAAAAGGATACCCCTGAATGACACTGAGCTGTGGGCTACCCTCTGCACCCCACTTCACTCATTTCTGGCTTCTGAGGGTGGCAGGGCCCTCAGTGAGCAGAGTTAGGTTATATTCCAGCACAATACCTGCTCAGATGCCATGCCAGCCAGAGGTGCGGTCCCCATCTGAGGTACTGTCACCACCTGAGGACTGCACCTGCCTGAGCTGCGTACCTGCTGGAGGCGCAAGCCCCTTGGGCGGCCTTTGGTCATGCTGAGCTCCCACACACACACCACAGTGCTGGTCCCAGAGGTGACAATTGTTGTTGGGGAAGGGCACACAGCACACAGACAGCGCCCCCAGGCAGCCAGGTTCTCGAATGTCATCAGGATCTGTAGGAGATAAGGGGGATGAGACAGCAGGTACAGGAGCCTGGGACAGAGTCACAGGGGAATGTGGGCTAGTCTGGGTGCCTTGGGAATTGGGGACATGCCGTGTGTTCAGGAGTCAGGCCCTGATGACAAAATCCAGACCATCCCAGGTCCCCAAGCAGGAGCTTCTCCTCTAGCAGGTAGGAAGAGACAAGTGAGGGATGCTGGGAAGACCCCACGAGCACCAGCAGGGGGTGGCTCAGTTTGGGGGTCAGGAGGGAGGACATGGGGCTGAGTTCCATGGCTGCCTCAAGAAGTTGCTGGGGCAAGGCCAAGGAGGGGATTGGGGAGCTGGGAGAGTCGAGAATTCACTGGAAGTGATGGGATTAGGGGAGGGAGCTAGAGTAGGAATGGGGCCTGGAAAGGAGGGCAGGGGCCACATCAAAAAGGCGGAGGTGACTACATGGCCTACACTGGTGCTGGGAGGACCAGTAGGAAAACAGCTTGCTTCTGCAGTTGAGTCTGAATGATGACTGGAACCAGAGGAGCCCCCAGGACTTCCATCCCACACTCAGTGCCAGTGTAGGTGAACTCAATTTAGTCACATGTCCAGCTAGCCTCTGCTCTGGAGGTGACAGTGTGTACTGCCAACTTGTAAGCTCAGCTCCTTGGAAGGAGGGTTTGAGGCCTGGCCCAATGAGGGCTTTTGCACAGTCACCAAGTCCTCTCCCTCCCAGGCTGGCAGCACACCTTGTAGGGAAAGTGGGTGAGGTTGTTTGGACTCGCTGATCTCGGGACCATCTCTGCCTCCAGCTGGAGGAAAGCCGAGGTCCCGAGGCCGCCCCTGCTCCCTGCAGTTGGCTCACCTTGTCAGAGCCGTAGCTCCCCAGGCAGCAGCTAAAGTCATCGAAGCCCCAGCTGAAGGTCCTGTTCCAGAGAGGAGGCAGCAGCACTTTGTTCCTCTCTACAGCCAGAATGGTCTTCTCGGTAGAGACAATGTGGCCAATGGCCCCTTTGGGGGACTCTGAGCCTAGAGAAAAGAGGTACATATCTACCCCCCAGTTAGTATGGTGAACTCATGCGTGGAAGGACAGCACCCACTATAGCTGGGCCCCGGCAGGCATGACAGGCAGACACACTGGACGCAAGCTTATGCACAGAAGGACAGCACCCACTGCAGCCAGGCTCCAGGCAGACGTGACAGGCAGACACACTTCCCGTCCTTCCTCAGCTCCACTCCGGGAGCCACCCCCTGCCCCAGCTGGAATATGGCTCAGAGCACAGGATTTGGAGCTGTCCAGACCTCATTCTAAGCCTGGTTATCCTGGTCAAGTCATTCCATCTCTTCAGACCCCAGCCTCTTCCCACAGAGTAGAGACAACCATGCCCCTTTCAGTGTGTCCGCTGGCACAGAGCTTGGTGCAGCTTGTCAGCTCAAAACACTGAGGCTGGCCTAGTTTCCGAGACCACGCACATCACACCCACCACGTAGGGGCCTTTCCTACTTCCTGGTGGGGGGCACCCCCTTCCTTGCCCTGTGCTGGGTGAAGTGGGAAAACTACCCTCTTCCTGAGCCTACCACCCAGGAGGAAGAGAGGGAGCAGGATTCCGGGAGGCTCCAGGATAAGACTGTGGGATGTCTCTTCCTGTACGGAGGGACTGAGGCATCGATGGCCCTTACCCTCTGGGGCTGCTCAGAGGAAAAGGAGAGAGTGAAGCCAGGCCTCTTAAAGCAAGGCCCAGTGCATGCTGGGAGTGGCACCAACATCTGCCAGGACTCCTGTCTCAGTGCTGGCTTGGTGCCTGCCTGTGTGACAGACACCACTCCATGGCACTGTCACAGCCTGAGGGCAGGGCCATTGTCTTCCACATCTTACACACGGGGAAACTAAGCCTTAGGAAGGCCCTCCAGGACCCGTGGCTGATAAGGTCTGCCTCAGTCTCCTGGAGCCCACATGGGAGATTTGCGCCCCCTTGTTACTGTTGATGTGGTTTGCACTGCGTGCCCTTCTCCGTGAGGGCAAGGGCTGTGCCTGACTGCCCAGGGACTTCAATCTAGCAGCAGATCCCCAGTCCTGGGGCAAATGGAGGCATGGTCCCCAGAGCCAAGAGCAGCAGGCACCTTATCTACCAGGGTGGAGTGTGCCAAGGACACTGTGCTTGGACTTCAAGGATAAAAAAGGTCACCACTAAACCCCCGTAAACCTACCCTTATGCTTCTTGGGTCCTGCATGTTGTTCAATGTAGTGGGATTTCCCCAAGGCAGTGCATGTCCTCAGACGGCACAGGCACCCGACTTCATACATACATGGCCTTAGGCACCCAGCCTCACCCTCTCTTCTGCTTCCATCTGGGCGATCCTCCCTCCTGGGCTGGGTGGGACCACCCCCACGCCAGTCAACTTCTGCTTCTATAGAGCCTCTCTGAGCCTTGGCAGCAGAAGAGGAAGCCACTGAACTTTGGTCAGAAGAGATGGACTAATAATCACCACTATGTGCTGGGCATGAAGGTGGCCCATCTCACTGAGCTTCTGCTGACTGGCCACGCTGAAGAGCCCCTGGTTCCCAGAACTGTCTCTCAGTCATGGGGCCGGAGTGACCATATTCCCTCCCTACATCACATGGCGCCCTTCATTGGCTCAACCTGTTTCTCATATTTTTCATCCTTCCCTCACAAACTCTCTGAAGGCTCATTTATCTAAGCATCAACACAATTCTTCAACCACATCCATCCAACCCTATTCCAATCGTCATGGGATCATGGAGGTTCAATGGCTTTCCCAAGGTCACATAGACAGGAAGCAGTAGGGCCGGCATTCACTCCTGTGCCATCTGCCCCAGAGCCCCAGATAACATGTTCTTAGCTACTGGCTGCCTGCCTATCCTGCCCTGCTTAGGAGGTCCAGTGGCCCAGGCACAGAGACTGTAACTTTCCTTGGGAGACTCGGGACTCTCCACTGGTCTCTTGAGGAGAAGAAGTGTATGTGTGTACGTGTGTGTGTGCGCATGTGTGTGTATGTGTGCATGCATAAAAGAGAGGAAGAGGAAGAGAGATGTGTGTGTGCCTGAAATAGGAGTGTGTGTGTTTGTGAGAGTGAGAGACATGAGCCTTCAGAAGTCAGGGTCGAACAGAGAGAGAGAGAGAGGTGAGTCTTCAGAAGTCAGGGTGTACTAGAGGGGCTTCTAGACACTTCCTACAGATAATGCCCCCCTAGAATATGGCTGATTGGAGATGCAGCCATTCAAAGTCAGGCCCCAATACCTTGCCTAGATATGTGGCCCTGGACCTCCAGAGAAACCCAGACACTGAAGAGACAACTCTGGGACAGGACACCAAACAATGCATGGCCAGAGAATCACCTTTGACTGTGACCTGGGAGGGTCTCAATGACTGCAGGCTGTAGAAAAAGGGCTGTGGGTGGCCAGGAAGGCTCATGGGAGTGGAGACATCCTTTCCAGGCAGAGGCTTCCCTGCTGCAGTCCTTGCTGGGTGAGGTTTGGTAAAGAGCTGGAGAGACAGGGAACAGATACACGTGAGGGGAGACATGCCCAGAGGAGGGGTCGTCCCTGTGCACACCATAGTGTTACCCCCACTCTGGGAGCTGCCACAGCTGGGCTTGGTCCTGACAAAACGGAACATGAACAGAACCTCTCATCCAGCCCTCAGATGCTGCAGGTGAGGGACCTGGGGCTCAGAGAGGGACAGCTACTTTCTCAAGGTCATACAGATATCTCTTCTTTCCCAAGCTGCTTGGGAAAAGACTGGCCTCGTTGAAGAACCCCTGGTCCCCAGAAGAACTGTCTCAGTCAGGGGGCCAGAGTGATTCTCTTCCCTCCTAGATCACATGCTCTCTTCTTTGGCTCAACCTATTTCTCATATTTTTTATTCTTCCCTCATGAACTCCCCGCAGGCTCATTTATCTAAGCATCAACATAATTCTTCAACAGCTTCCATTCAAGTATTCCAAAGAACACAGGCAAATCTCATCAATGGCCTTTCTATTTCTCATTTTTCCCCCATCTCTGCCCCGATCTCTGCCTAATGCCAAATTTTCTGCATAACCAAGCCAAGCGCGGAGCATGAGCTATGCTGCCTGGCTGCGCCCTTGCTGCTGGACCAGGGCGTGCAGCTGCGCCAAATCCAGCTCTCTACCCTGCAGTCCGTCCCAGACTCTACTCCTGCTGGACTGCTCTTTCCAGCTAGCAGCGCATTCCAGCAAGTCATCCACTGGGCACACGCTGGAGGGAGAAGAGGTGGGAGCTGGCCTGGGCTGTAGACATGGGTAAAGTTGGGGCTCAGGTTTGATGGGCAGCTGGGGTGGGTGTGGGGTGTCTCAGAGAAACCTCAGCTCAGTTATAGACCTGGATCAAATGCTAACCTGTTTAGAAAAGCTGGGTGTTTGATCAATGCAGACAGAAATCAGAATGATGAGTTTTCAATGAGTGTTTAATAATGAACACTTCCTCGCTCAGGGTGACTGGGGATAGTGGACACAGCCCCTGTTAGGAGCAGCATAGGGCGTGAGTGCTGCAATTTTGTCTTCGGACTGGGACACGTGGGCATTCTCATTCTGATGGCTACTTTAGAAATACTTCTTAAAAGCTCATAGGACACATCGCTGAGTGAAGTCAGATTCTGAAGTTGTGTGTACTCCATGACTACACTGACAGGAAAAGATCTGTACTGTGGACACGGGCTGTCGGTACATGAAGCACATGGGCTGGATGGTGGTGGCTACTGCTTTGAATTATTTTCTTCCTTTGTATTATTATGTATCTTTTAAATTCAAGAAAAGAAACAATTTCTAGGCTAGCAGGCTTCTTTCCTAAAATTCTTTCTTTCCTACAAAGCCTCCCAGCAAACCCACATTGGATATACCATCCAATCTCCGAGTCACCCTCACACCATCCTTAGATTCCCTTTACCTGGGAGCTGAGCAAACCTCAGTATGTTATGTGAGACCAGAGAGAAAGATGTTAGTTTTGCACTAACTGCAAAAGGACCCCTCCCACCTCCAGTCCTCATGGTTGCACGTGGGAAGGCCGTTGCACAGGACGGTTCTGGAATTGGCTGGTTTTAGGCACCCATTTCCCAGCACGGCAGCTGACTGCCCAGGTTGTGACCCCAGTAGCAGGGCCATGTTTCTTATCCCACATAGCCATGTTCAGGAACAAAACATATCCACACAGAACCACAGTTTGAGGATTACCAAGGCTGGAATCAACTAAATAAGCACCTAACTTGTGCGTTCGTCAGTATGTCAACAGAATGCACAACCTCTTATTGCTAAGTGACTATCTTGACAGGAGACAGAGACAGCAGAGCAGAAGGCCCAGGTAAGACTTTGCAATTTCACCAGAGGCCCAGCAGGTAAAAGGCAGATACTCTCACACCAGTGACAATATGGTGCAAGCTTTACATTTACTTAGATAGGACCAGAGCTTCTACCTCTGTTCACTGCTAATAGTGTAATTCTAGGCAAGGTGTTTATTTACCCTCTCTGAGCCTCAGTTTCCTGGTCTATTAAAGGATACCCTATACCCAGAGCTTAAGAGATTTCAATGGCATAATCACACTAATAACTAACATTTGTTAAGTGCTAGTCATATTTCAGGCACTTTCAAACACTTGTTATGTCTTAACTTGCTGGATAAAACAACCCTGTAGTGTAGACATGTACACAAGTAATTAGTTACCACATATCTGTTATAGTGTCTAAAATCACACTAGCCACAGAAAAACACAGCTTTCACCAGTTTCACTAATGATTTCATCATCTGTATCAACATCAGGTAGTAACTGAGGATTAAGCCTGATATTGAAAGCACAGGAAGATGACGGGGGACCGTTTCACCTCTTCAGCCTTCTCCTTCACTCTTACCCCAGGAGAGAATGTCTTCACACTGCACACACTCTTTTGAGAAAGCAAGGCAAATGACAAGGCATGTTGTACCTGTTTGGGCACCTGTCCAAAGTTGCTGACAAACCCCAGGATGGTGCTCTTGATGAGGGGGTCAGCAATGCTGCCAAGGTCCATTCTGTCACCATAGAAGTAGGGGTGGAAGATATTAACAGCATCCACCGCGGCTGGCCCCTGCTGCTTGTACCCGAAAATAAGGTCTATCCAATGGTGGAGGTTGGTACTGACAAAGTCACTTTCCAGAGCCTGGAACAAAAACCCAAAGAGCATTAAAACCCAGGCCACTCATGGACTCATGCACCCTCCGCACAGTTTGGAAGGGGCACGTGCTTCAGGGTGCTGGCCCTGCACAGGGGAGATAATTGATGGGCCTCTGGGCAGTCTGAGCCAGCCACCTGAGGGCCACCTGAGTCCTGCCTCCAGCCAGCAGCAAACCAGATCTAACTGTTTCTACCACCCCAGCTCAACCACGTCATAAAACAACCATGATGTCCACAGTATCTGTGGGGTGAAGGCCTGAGAAAGACACATCTAAATGGAAGAGACCAGGCTGAAAATAAAGTCCTGGGGTCTTGCTGAGATATGACATATGAAACAGGGAGAGCTGGTTCTGACTAGAGAGTGTCAGGAGGCTGAGGCTAAGTGCAGTGATCGGGAGAGTATGCTCTGGAGCACAGGGGTGTGGGCGCTGCCATGTATACATTCCTTGACATCTCTGTTCCTCGGTTTCTTCATCTCTAAAATGGATAACAATTGTACCTTCTTAGCAAGTTCATGTGAGAATTAAGTTGTGTCCACGGCTGGCACACAGACAGCTCCAGGAGTTAGGTAATTACACTGAGCACATACGATGCCAGGCACCGGCTAGCAGTTTCACAGATGTTGTTTCCTCCCATAAATGCTGTCCTTTGTGAGTAGGTAATTAACCCACTTCTAGGGCAGGCTTGTGTGTGGTTTTTGATCCCAACCCTCCAGCCCCCAATTTTCATCCCGCAGAACCCCACAAGGAATATCCAGCCTCACTGAGCAGATCCCACTTCACTCAGGTATTGTGAAATTCTGGACATGTGTGTGGGCATCCTTCTAAATCATCCCTGGTACAGAAATGAAAGAATCTGCTTCTGAGGTACAGCTTAGCCCCCAGGAATGTGAACTTCCTTCACCGGGGCAGCTGTGTCCAGCTGGGGGCATGCAGCAGGCAAGGAGCATCTAACCCATGCACCCACAGACCTCAGGAACATTCTGTCCATGCTCAGGCTCACTGTCGCCAGATGGAAAGACAGGAGACATTCTCAACTCAAACACGGAGCCTGGGTCTGAGTTTACAACCTTTAAATGAGAAGTAAACCTCACCCCATTCAAGACCACAGCTCCCACTGGAAATCAGCAACACCTGCTCTTCATGAAAGGTGACATCCAACTGGAAACAGAGATTTTAGCTTAAGAGCCAAGCATGCTAGATCGTTCGTGCATACAGCCCAGATGGATGGCACTGGCTCAGATTGGGGGACCCAGGTTGGCAATAATTCTTGTCAGGTGTCACACATGAGCAAGAGGAAGTGTGTCCCAGTGTCCTGATGTCACAGTCTATCTGAGAGGTGGCACCTGCTTCTGCTGAATAGAGCCCAGAACCCCAAGGTGTTCATTTGGGATTGTCTGGGCTTCCCTTGTTGGTCCTCTGCGAGGACATGTAGCCCTACACACCTGGACCTGGAGAAGCCAGGTCACCTGTGCTAAGTTAGCTTTCCTGAGGTCTATGATTAAAGTGGCTTTGGGGTCAAGAAGGCCACATTTGAGTCATGTCATATGAGGGGTAATGAAAGGTATGGCTCTCCCAAGCCTACCACCTGGCTTGCAGCATACCTCATGGCCTTTTGGAGATGTTTGCATGAAAGCATTTGTTGGTGGTTGCCACAGAACCACTAAAGGCATAGTCAGGTGAGGGAAGATCATAGGCCAGGACAGCTGACCCTTCTGCTGGCCCTTCTTCCTACTTCTTGTTAACCAACACATATCCCATGTCCTCAAGCTCTTCCCAAACATTCCTCCGCTTCCTTTCCTTAGATGAAGCCTGGCTTTTACCGGGGCAGCCAGTTCCCCTGCAGCAAGTTCAAGTGGTGGCTACTTGCTGGGCACAACCCATGTGTCTGGGGCCGGGACATGAGGCCCGTGTCGCCTCAGTCCTTATTGCCACCTCCAGAGTATTGCTCCTCTGCCCTCTTGAAAAAAAGCACAAAACATCTGCTCCTCTGTGTTGCATGAGATCCAGCTCTATCCATTCCTCATCCCCACTGCTGTCTTCCAACAACTTCTCTCTGTTCTCCTCATTCATCAAAGGTGGTGATTCCTGGCCATGCCTTCCCTTCTTCTCTAAGATCTGCCATCATCCTCAGTGATTGCAATCTCTGGCCTCTCGGTTCCTCAAGCTCCAAATCTCCAAAGACTTTTGCCTCCATTCCAACTAAAGTCACCACTCCCATAGCCACACCTTACGTTAACCATGTTAACTTAAGTATTCATACCTGCCTCATTTTCTAAAGCACTCATTCAAACGTCTACTTGGCGAAAGCCACACCCTCACCTTGCTGGGTGTTTAAGTACTTCCTAAGACTCTTCCTCTACCTTGTCACAACTCCCAGTCCCCTTGTCCCTTTTCTTCTTTACAGTCTCTCAGCACTCACCTGTCTTTTGCTACATCTTTATCCAGCTGAGATGTAGAGGTCCATCATTCCAGTAACTCTCTGCTCAACTGAATAATGTGCAACTCTATCTTTTATCAGACTAAGGCTACTGCTGCCTGCAGGTTACATTCATCTCTGGCCCGAGTACTCAAGACAGTGGGCTCTGGGAGGGATGATTCCATCACTGAGTTTCCAGAGGCAAGAATAAAACAAGAAGAACTTTCTCTTCACAGAAAAGGACAGGAGAAGGCATAAGTTTGTTGTCACTAGTCAGACCTGCCACAGGTTATTTTTACTTTTTAGGTGTAATTTACATACAATAAAACTTGCTGTTTTAAAATGCGCAGTTCAAAGTGTTCTGATAAATTGATGCAGTCACGTGACCATCACCACAGTCAAGACATAGAACATTTCCCTCAAAATGTCCCCCTGCGTGTTCCTTGGGGGTCACATTCCTACTTCAGACCTTAAGAACCACTAATTTGTTTTCTGTCCTTATCATTTGCCTCTAAATGTCACATTTCATGTCTGTATATAAAATCCCATGGTATGTAGCTTTGGGTTATAGCTTCTTTCATGTAGGATAATGTATTAAAACTCATGTTGTTCTGTGTAAACGGATTCAGTGAATCTGCTCCTTTTCACTGCTGAGTAGTATTCTGTTGTGTGTGTGTGCGTGGACATATCATTTGTTTAGCCATTCACCAGCTGACATTTGAATTTTGTTTTTGACTAGTTTGAATAAACCTGGTGAAGATTCATGCACAAGTTTTTGTGTGGACATGCTTTCAGTTTTCTTGAGTAAATATCTACAAGTGAAACTGCTAGGTGATATGGCAAATGCATCTTCACATTTATAAACAAATTGCCAAGTTTTTGTACAAAGTGGTTGTACCATTTTGCTTTTCCTGCCATCGATGTCTCAGGCATTCCAGTTGCTCCACATTTTTGTCAATTATTGGTTTCACTGGTCTTTTAAATTTAGGCCACTCTTGTGGGTGTGTTGTAGCATCTCATCTCATGATGCTTTTAATTTATTTCTCCCTGGTGACCAGTGATGTTGAACATCATTCATGTGCTTAAACAAACCCAGAAATTTCATTCAGCATGTGTCCTAAAATGACCTCTGGTCTCTACCCGTTTCCAGTTTATTGGGTAATAAGCCAAGTTCTCACCAGTCCTGGAAAATCTTTGGCCAGTGACAGCCCCTCAGAGGCTCCAAACCCTCTCTGAACTATACTGAGCAGTGCGGCCCAGGTTATGGACATGCTCGTAGGGTTGACTGACGACACCGACCTGCCCTCCAGGGCACTAATCTCACTTCCTCTAGTGAAACCCTCACCAAGCTGGCATCAGGGCAGGGTCTAATGGAGCTCTTGAGACAGTCCAGAGCCCAAGCCTTTCCTTGCCAATCCAAGACGTAGACCCCACCCCATTTCCGGGTTTTCCAGACATAAGCCTCACAGTGCTGGTCACTGGCCCTCGACTTGGAGAGAAAGCCTTAGTGGCACTTGAGGGGATGCTAAAGTCCCCAGCAGGATACCAGAGGTCCTGGCCTGACTCACCTGTCTGTGCAGGCTGATGAATTTCTGAGGGTCCCCATCAGCCCAGGGAGGGAGTTGCACGTCTCCTAGTGCAGTCCCGTCCTGCATGCACCCTGCATGGGATGAGAAGTAGCAGAGATTTTGGTAACTGGGAACTCAGACCAGGCTAGGAACCAAAGATATAAAATACATGCTGTGCAGGACTGCTGATTTTGTGTAGGTCAGAATGTGAGTTATGTCCTCTGTGGACCACATTGCTTTCAACCTTCTCTGCCTGAAAGGATCCCTCAACTTGGCCTCTAGACCCTGCCTCCTTCAGGAGGCCCTCCTTGCTTCCCAGGAAGTGCCAGTGCCAGTGCTTGCTTTGTAAGTTACCCGAAATGAATTCGGCGTGTCATTGTGGTACCTCTGCCTCCCCACCCTTCCTTCTGGGTGCTTTTTACACGGCATTAAACAATCAGGACATACAGTGATCGCAATGCAAGCTGGCACTTTCTCAGCATCTGACTCTATGCCAGGAGCAAGGCTAGCCCTTGGGGACATATCACCTCATTGAATCTTCATTCTAACTCGATAATTCATGCATTTTTCTCTCTGTTTTTAAGGTGAGGACAGCAAGATTTTAGACAGAGATTCTCCAGACAGTAGATAAAGGAGGCTGGACTCGACCCAAGTCTCCCTCCTCCCCATTAGCTACCCAACCTTGCACAAGTCACTTCTTTAAGATTCATTTTCCACCTGTAAAAATCAAGGTGATGACAGGAATGATATCATAGGGCTGGTATATGGATTAAAGGAGAAAATACACTCCACATGCTTAGAACGATGCCAGGCGTATGATGGCTGCTCCATAAACATGAGCTACAGTCTTGCCTGACCCCTCCAGAGCCTGCAAGGAGCTTCTGGAGTAGAAGCTCCCCTGCTCTCTCTGGGCTGCAGAGCTGCCTGACCTGGCCCTTCTCATTACTCATCTCAGCTCACCTGCCACCTCCTCAACAGGTTCTTCCTGAGGACCAGAGAAACCCAGGTCTTGCTGAGTCATCCTCAAACCATTTTCCTACCTATTTTCCTCATAGGACTTCTCAGCATCCAGCAATGTTTCACTTACAATATAGATATTGTCTATATTTTCTGTTCCCTGTTTCCTATCCTCACTCAGAATGTAAATATATTCAGGGTATGCCATCCCAGGAGACCCATCCAAATTCCCAGTGCTTAAAAAAGGTCCCTGTATACAGTGGGTGCTCAATAACCACTTATTCTCCTGGCTTCCCTGAGGACATCTGCTCTTTTGGCCTCCATTCCTGGTAGGAGCTGTCATTTCTGCAGCTGAGCACATCATGCCTCCTGCAGAAGAGCTGGTTTCATTTCCCAGACAGAGTGGGTGCTCTGGCCAGTGCTCTAACCCCAGGCTGGCCACCCACCTCCTCCTGGCTGCCACCCTCCCTGAGTAACTCCTGCTGTGGGACTCCTCACTCTTTGTGGGATCCACCCTTTGTTCAGTTCTCATCCCTGACTCATGTGAGGTGACTGATGATTTGAACACTACCAAGGTCCCCAGGTTCCACAGATCAGACTCACGGGGCCTGGCTCACCATCTGGCCTGCTCTACAGGGATGTGGGCTGCATATCTGGGGCTGAAATCCCCTGCATAAGGTTTTTCAGAGGCCAATCTCCCCTGTTCTCCCCCTGGGGCTGCATCTGGCCTGGCTCAGGCACATACCCTTCTGTGCTGTCTGGAGGCAGAAGGAGAACACTGAGGAAGGGGGCTCTAGGGCCTGAGGTATGCATTGGTGATGGCTCATCGTGTTCTCTGCAGAAGATGATTCCCAGCCAGGCCAGCACCCACAGCTGCCCACACCATACCCAGGCTGTGACCACACATACCCTCTGCAAATAGCCCTGACTCAGCCTTGCAACTGTTCTCAGTGGAGGCTCTGAGACATACGCCCAGTCCTCAGGGGACCTGCCTACCGGGGCCTCCTGCATTGTGTGTTCTACTTCTACAGCAGCAAGAAGCCCTGCTGCATCCTGGACTGGGGCCTGCAGTTCCTGAATGAGAGGGAGCTGCCATAAGTGTCCAGCCAGCTGCCCTGGGATTCCACCCAGCAGCCTACCCCAGGAGACCTAGCATCTCTGGGTCCTGCCCTTGGAGTCCACATGAATCCACTTGTGGGACATGGAAGAAATGGAGCTGGTGGGGATGGCAGGAACTTGTCCAAGGTCTTGAGGCAGCAGGGCAGTGCCAGACCTGGGCTACTCACAAGGGCCCCTGTTCCACCCACTGCCTCACTGCTGGTGGAGGCCTGGGACCCTCAGAGGAAAGGTCATGGTCGGGGCGGTATATCAGTGCCGTCCTGGCAGCCTGGGGCCAGCACCCTTCTTCAGCAACCACCTTTCCTTCTGAGCGCTGTTGCCAGTGGAGACCTCACCTCAAGTGCATGGGTCCTGGGGTGGACCTAGCAAAGGTCCAAATGATGTTGGTCACCACTCAGGGGCTGCGGGAAAGAGCACCGCACAACCCCACTCACCCGGCCTCACCCAGGCCTCCACTCACCGAACTCCATCCCATTGCAGTTGGTTAAGAACTCGGGTAGGTAGAAGAACTCTGGGGTCAGCTCCCTGACGTCACTCATGTTCTCTCTGGAAGCCGACTCCCACGTGCTCTTCACACTGTGGAACATTCTGTCTGCCACGTCGAAGCTTCCGCCCTGGGAGAAATGGAACCGACATGCACAGCTGCACTCACTGCGCCCTCCTGCTGGCCAGGCTCCATCCATTCTGCCTTGGAGGCACCGGTTCCACTGTTAGCACTTCTCATTCACCTTCCCCACACCCATGTACTCATCAGCCCAGGTGTATGTGCTGTGGTCCTCCACCCACTGATTCCTTCATTACTCACTGGAACCTTGCTCCAGAGCTTTGAGGGAGAGTGCATGATCCATGGTAATCAACCCATGTTTCCCTGCCATGGACATCTGAGATCAGACCAGAGACAGGAAAACCACATCTGAGCATTTCTGAGATTGCAGAGGGCCAGCTCTGAATCAGACACTCAACACGAGGCAGTAAGAGTGCCAATGACTGCAACTCAGTTCCAGAGAGGCTCCCAGCCAAGTGCCACAGGCAGGAAATAAAGAATCAACCATAGGAGAAAGAAGTGGGTGAACATTCTATGTGGGAGGTCAGCAGAGGTTTCCTGGAGAGGTGCCCCTAGAAGTGAGTCTGGAAGGCTGCTGATGGGGATGATGGCAGGGTGTTCTGAGCAGAGGACAAGGCTTGGGCGAGCACCAGGGATGGGAGGAGAGCAAGAAGCAGAGGGAGGAGGGAGGTGGGAGGAGAGCTCACTAGTTTGCTGGTGACATCCAACACATAACACATGGCATTTGGTGGGGGAGAGAGGTAGGCAGGAAGGAGACTCTTGCACTAGGGTCTTGGCTTCGATGAGAGAGAAACGGTGTGAGAGTGGAGAGCTGGAGAAATTTCAGGGTTCAAAGGGCAGGGGGCTGGTCCACAAAGGACATGATGTCCACAGCTTCTGCCAGGGCCAGCCCTGGTCCCAAGGCCCATGGCCACAGGTGGCCTGGTACAGCCCCAGGCCTGGCTGTCGAGGTTGGGCCATGTAAGAATTCAGGCACATTTTTTCTTTAGATGCACTGATTCCTTCATCTGAATTGTCAAACTCTTCAGCTGATGCTACCCTTATTCATCATGTGGTCTTGGGGGTTGGGAGGAGGAAGAGAGGTGCCTCCCTCCACGTCCTGATTAGAAAAATGAAGGTGCTGGGGGCAGAGGGACTCCAGGAGAGAGTTTCTGAAATTGGGCCTTGGGTCTACATAAGTTTAGCAATTCAGAAGTTCACTTGTCCCATCAAGGCTGGGTCTTTGTATAACAAAAACTTGTCTTCCTTCTGCCATCGTCTGCAGAGTGCACATGTGGAACAAGGGGCAGAGCCCAGGATGGCAGTGCCCCCTCTGTGCCCATCACCCCCTTCCCTGCTCAGAGGGCTGAGGGTCTCCATCTGCATTTACCCAAGGAAGCCTTGAGGGGCGGCTGCAGGGGTAGATGGAGGTAGAGAAGGGCAGGGGCCTCCTCCTGGCATGTCTGGTTCATGCTCAGATGAGCTCTCCTAATCCTCACAGCAGCTGCATCAGGAAGGAATTAGTGTTTCCATTTTGCAGACCAGTAAACGGAGGCTCCTCAAAGTGCACTGATTTTCCCAAGGCAGTGAATGGCAGAACTGCAGCAAACCCATGGGTGCAACTCCACAGGGCACACTTTGCTCCTTGACAGATTCCTGAGGGAATTCCTGGATCTGGGACAAACTTGATCCATTGTGTGTGGGCCAAGGGGGGACTCAGCTCTATCTGAGAAAGGGGAACCTACCACATACCCAAGACGGCCAGACCTGGAGAGCTTGAAGGTCGCAGTCTGGCTGGTCTATTTACTGAGTCAGATTTGATCAGGTGAGATCTGTGGGTCATTCCCCACACAGGGCAGGGACACTGACTCAACCAAACACAGCGCATGGGCGGCTTTAAACATGTGGCTTTTCCCCAAGGTTGCTTTGCTCTCGGCTGAAATTAAGGAATGACGTCCACCATCAAATTTAAATCGAAATGAAAATAAAATGGGGGTGGGGTGTTGAAATAAATCTTCACCTAATGAGTCACTCATTGAAATGTATTAGGAGCCCTGTGTATTTAATCTGCAGCCGGAGCCTTGCATCTGCAGGAGATTGATGCCTTCTCCTAGCCCCGTTTCCCTTTTGCAGCTTTCATGAGTGCTGATGGTAGTCTCCTGAGAAACAATATGATTTGGTAATAAAAAGATTACCTGTATTAAATAAAAATAATATATACATACGAAATATTGTTAGTGCTACAAATCTGGTTAAAGATATTACCACAAAGAAAAATGTTATTTTTTTCACAGCTGTCTAATGCATTTTAGCAAAAGTAATATCTTTAAAACTTAAGCCTGTATTATTTATAAAGGAAGCAATAACTGATTTTCCTATTTCCTATATTAATAAATGTATTTGCATACATTTGTTTCAAAATTAATGGGTTTTCTCACTTCTGCAATACAAAAGCAAACACCGAATTCCCTAGAAGAAAAAGTGGAGTTGCTTTGTTACTTGTATTGTAAGTCTGTGGGTTGATGTAAACTCTGGTGGCTGCCAGTGAGGAGTTCCAGCTAGGACTGAATTCTCAGAAAGAATGGGAGGAAAAAAGAAAGAAAAGGGAAAAACGGAGCAAGAAGGTGCAAGGCAGGGAGTTCCAGTTAAGGTTTACAGAGTGCCTATCTAAGTAAAGTCCAGACCCAAATGAAAGAAAGCAGCACAATGAAGTCTAGAACTTGGAAGGGAACGAAGTGATCAAAGAGAATTTCTGAACCAAGAGCTACTCTGGAATCTGTTCTGCAACAAATCCTGCCTGTATCCCAGTGAACTGTAAAGAATAATAGCAGGGTTATTATTGCCAACAAAAGAACAACTTCTTATTGGCAGAAGGCTTTCCCATGTAACATTTGGGCCAGAAGACAAAGGAGCCAGCCAAGCCTAGAGGGTTCTGAAGCAAAAGGCTACGGTTGTTGGATTTTGTGCTCAGTTAAGACGTCGCTCACATGTAAAGATGCAGGAACATTTTGAATACTGAAGAGCTCAGAAACAATATAATCCTAGGTACCACTTCTCAATTAAAATCCTTCAGGAGGTGCTAAATATTACTAAGAGATGAAGCAAAATTGAAGGCAAAATAGTAGGAAAAGAAGTGGCTAGCAAGGACTATTGCTGGACTGACCCGAGTTAAAATCAGAGGACAGTCTATAATTATGGTATGATGGTGAAAGCTGGAAAGCCCGAAAAGAAATGTTCTATAGTAAAGGAAGTACTCCTTTCATGTAAGGACACAACGTCTATGTGCACCATTGTCTCTGGATGAGCATTTCAATCACTATTAGACATTCTTAAACCCCTCTCCAATGTGGTTTCAATTCTTGACCCACATTCACAGGAAATTCGGTAACTGCACATGCTGAAGGACACCTAGATGTGCAGATACTTTTATAAAACATGCTAGAAAGTCTGTTCTTCCTTCCTGATGACACTGATTCAAATCAACCTGCTGTCACATCTGGATATGGGATTAGCTTTATCAGCAAGCTGACAACCCACTCTCACTGCAGGTATTCTTTCCGGTATTTAAAAGTACCCATGCAAACGATTCACTTACAGGATGCTGTTGACATATCAGGTGATCTAACCTGCTGTCTTCAGCCAATCAAAGAGGCAATGTGCAATGGTGGAAAGCATATTGGCTTCAGAAGCAGGCTTCAGAAGCAGGCAGGCTTGGGTAGGAATTTCAGTGCCCCTTACTTGCAGGATGAACTCCAGTGAGTTGCTTAATCTCTTTCACCTCCCATGCCCTTGTCTGTGAACCTTGGATGATTGCTGTTGGTGTGAAGGCAATTGTGTGTGTGTGTGTGTGTGTGTGTGTGTCAGAGAGAGAGAGAGGAGAGGAGAGAGAGAGAGAGAGAGAGAGAGAGAGAGAGAGAGAGCAAGACACACCTTATGCGGTATAGTAGGCACATAGAAAGCGGTGCCAAATGAACCCAGCCCCTACATCCTTTTCCCTGCCCAGACTAGGAACTGGGGAGTCCTCGGCTTGGGCCCCAATCTCAGAGTGCATGGGGAAGGAAACCAGGGGCTCTAAAGGAGAAGGGGATAGAAGTTATGGAAGGTAGGAGGTGGGGGAAGTGAGGAGAAGCGGGATCCTCCAGTGCCGGGGACAGGGGTAGGAAGGTGGGGAATCTGAGGGACTGTGGGATGACACCAGGAAACAGCACCTGCACTGTCAGGGCAGCTTTCAACAGCAATAGCCTCAGAAGCAATGGGGCAAAGGTGTGAAGGGAGAAGAAAGCTGGACCCAGCACCCTCTGAGCCTCTGCAGGAAAGAGACAGGCCCTGATATGCTACTGAATCAGCTAAAGGCATAGGACCCACATGGTGCTGGGAAGCCCACACACTGGTCCAGCTGCCTCTTGGTCTTGCTCTCATGGAAGATGGGATGACCTCAGAGCAGCCATTAGCTTTCCTTCCTGTAGGTCGTGGCTCTTTTCTAAATGAGTGAACCCACCTAGCCTTGCTGAAACCACTCTGCCTGCATTAGGAGGAGGGGTGGGCACGTAGGGGACACTCAGTTCAGCCAAACAGGCTCATGCTGTATCTCCTTCAGTCCTCACCACCCACCCAGCCAGGAATTATTTTAAAGGATGAAGAAACCAAGGCTCAGTTGTTCAATAATGCCAATTAGAAAGTTCCAGAGCCAGGAGTTTATCCCAGGTCTATCTGTCTCTATCGCATGTGTTTACCACTACTCATCCTAAGTATGTATGATAAAAACTACACAGCGTTGGTCAGTTTGGGCCCTTACAGACCCCATGTCCTCACGCTGTAATCAGAGGGAGGCTGAAGGTTTCTGGGTCCAGCCCTGCAGCCCTGGCTATATCGGGTGGTCTGGCCCTTTGTGATGCTCTGGGTACCAGGAGATGGGCTGCTTGCCTCAGAGGCAGGGGCTGAGCTGCAGGCAGCAAGTGAAGAGGCAGGCATGGTCCACCTGGGTGTGAGCACAGACACAGATGCTCCAGCTTCCTCACCTTCCCTGGCACACACTCCACCAGGATTCCTGGCACTGACTCCACCAGGACC